CTAAAAAAGCACTAGGCTAGCATATAGAAGATCTATGTTATAGAACGCCCGGATAATAAAAACGGCCGAACCTAAGAAAAAATACTTCAACAAGCACGTTACGATCGATTTTTGAACCGTTGAATCCCCTAATTACGGGTATATCCTATATATCCTAAGAAAGCTAATAGAATGGGGAACAAAACCTATATAGTGAATATAGGGCACAGATTCGGTTTAAGGGGTAATGGAGCACCCGAATACCAAAAACGGCCGAACCTAAGAAAAAATACTTCAACAAGCACGTTACGATCGATTTTTGAACCGTTGAATCCCCTAATTACGGGTATATCCTATATATCCTAAGAAAGCTAATAGAATGGGAAACAAAACCTATATAGTGAATATAGGGCACAGATTCGGTTTAAGAGGTAATGGAGCACCCGAATACCAAAAACGGCCGAACCTAAGAAAAAATACTTCAACAAGCACGTTACGATCGATTTTTGAACCGTTGAATCCCCTAATTACGGGTATATCCTATATATCCTAAGAAAGCTAATAGAATGGGGAACAAAACCTATATAGTGAATATAGGGCACAGATTCGGTTTAAGGGGTAATGGAGCACCCGAATACCAAAAACGGCCGAACCTAAGAAAAAATACTTCAACAAGCACGTTACGATCGATTTTTGAACCGTTGAATCCCCTAATTACGGGTATATCCTATATATCCTAAGAAAGCTAATAGAATGGGAAACAAAACCTATATAGTGAATATAGGGCACAGATTCGGTTTAAGAGGTAATGGAGCACCCGAATACCAAAAACGGCCGAACCTAAGAAAAAATACTTCAACAAGCACGTTACGATCGATTTTTGAACCGTTGAATCCCCTAATTACGGGTATATCCTATATACCCTAAGAAAGCTAATAGAATGGGGAACAAAACCTATATAGTGAATATAGGGAACAGTTATATATTCGGTTTAAGGGGTTATGGTTTTCGGTCCCTCGTTACCCCTTAAATCGCATCGGTGCCACATATTCACTATAGATCTTTTGTTCCTCATTTTATTACCTTTCTTGTGATATATAGGATATACCTGTAATTAGGGGATACGGGGGTTCAAAACTCGATCGTAACGTGATCTGTGGTGTATTTTTTCTTAGGTTCGGCCGTTTTCGGTTTTCGGTCGCTCGTTACCCCTTAAATCGCATCTGTGCCACATATTCACTATATAGCTTTTGTTCCTCATTCTATTACCTTTCTTGTGATATATAGGATATACCTGTAATTAGGGGATACGGGGGTTCAAAACTCGATCGTAACGTGATCTGTGGTGTATTTTTTCTTAGGTTCGGCCGTTTTCGGTTTTCGGTCGCTCGTTACCCCTTAAATCGCATCTGTGCCACATATTCACTATATAGCTTTTGTTCCTCATTCTATTACCTTTCTTGTGATATATAGGATATACCTGTAATTAGGGGATACGGGGGTTCAAAACTCGATCGTAACGTGATCTGTGGTGTATTTTTTCTTAGGTTCGGCCGTTTTCGGTTTTCGGTCGCTCGTTACCCCTTAAATCGCATCTGTGCCACATATTCACTATATAGCTTTTGTTCCTCATTCTATTACCTTTCTTGTGATATATAGGATATACCTGTAATTAGGGGATACGGGGGTTCAAAACTCGATCGTAACGTGATCTGTGGTGTATTTTTTCTTAGGTTCGGCCGTTTTCGGTTTTCGGTCGCTCGTTACCCCTTAAATCGCATCTGTGCCACATATTCACTATATAGCTTTTGTTCCTCATTCTATTACCTTTCTTGTGATATATAGGATATACCTGTAATTAGGGGATACGGGGGTTCAAAACTCGATCGTAACGTGATCTGTGGTGTATTTTTTCTTAGGTTCGGTTCGTCATTGTCGGAGATGTTTTTGGTATTCGGGCGTAGTATTACATAGATCTCCTATTAGTGCTATTATTAGATTTTTTTTTTAGGAAAACACCCTAGTTTTTTATACGAAACTTTCATTACTTGTGTATATTACCTGTTCTAGACTTTTCATATTGATAATATTTTTTATATATAAATGTGTAAATTTTTGAGAATTTGAAAAGAATTATTGGCACTCAAAGACGTATTTTTTTTTCACTCCCCTGACACAAGGTGTACCGTTCAGTCGGTAGATTGCGTTAAGTGTGGACATCTTGATAGTGAAATGAGTCTGAAACGAATGCTCACTTTAATGCTTTATGAATAAAAGTAGACCCCACCCCTAGAAATATACGCAACAAACTGAGTGCGACAATTGTACCGTAAACTTCTAGATATATGCATAAGTTGGTTTTAGATGCATGATCAAATGTAATGTTACGTAAAAAATAAATAATTCAGTCTAAATATTAAAAAGGAATAGGCCTAACAAATATCTTTTCTCGTTATACCTTAATACTATATAATTCCATAGAGATTTCTACTTACGTTATTTTAGTTTTTGGCTGCAAACCTATCTAAATTATCGTTTGCAAAATAATATTTATTTATTAAATGATTACTCAACTCATAAAAATATTTTATTTTATGATATAGATTGATAATATGAAAATATTGTGTCGTTAGAAATATATATATATAATATAAGTAAAAAATCATGGATATTTTTGCACTCGTTTAGAAGAATAACAATTATCCCGTTAGTTTTCTCTTTTGAATTCCTTTTACATTTATGATTTATGCGGTATGGGATTTGCACATTGCTGAAGCCGTACGGTGACCTAAAGCTTGTAATGTCTGTGTCATTGGCAATCATACCAATTTTTTCTAATTTTTATATATACAAGTAGATACTACAGTTATTCATGACAATTTAATAAACTTGAATAGTGAATAGTGCAAAATAACACAGTTCACTATTCATGAATTTTGAATAGTGAAAAGTGAATAGTGAATAGTGAACGTACTTCAGCCCGGTCAATTCAATTCAGTTTATGATTTTGCATCAGATCATGTTTATTTGAAAGTCTTCTGAGCTACTTTTGAATTCTTATTCCATTACAATGTCATTAGCAATGCGGTCATTTGGTGCGCATTTGGGGATTGTTTGTTTTTACACAATATATTTGCGCGCATTTAATTTACATTTAACAAGGGTAAATGTTAAGATAATTCAAAACAAATATGTCGATAGTCATTAATTTTAACTATATTTATAATTTTAATTATATATTGTTCGTATTGATTGCTTAGCTTAAACGGATTATAAATATAATTTCTTCAAAAGTTATAGAGAAGTGATACAACCATCGGAAAAAATGTATACTAAATTAGTATAAATTAAATATATAATAATTATGGTAGTAAAATAACATGTGGTGCTGTTATCATCAAATACAGATCAACCAATATATCATTAATATTGCTGTGATTTGCTAATAATTTGCTATTAGATTTCCAATTGTAGAATCTAGCGGCTGTAAATTCTTCGGATTCTTCAGTTGAACAAAATAATGAAAATTCAGTATTTTCTTTTGTGTGCATTTTCCTTTGTTGGAATCATTGTTGCGTATTCTCATACAGATTTCCCTAAATTTCAAGGTAAGGTATCAACCCGTATCACGATAAATTATATGCTTTGATTTCTTATATTCTACGTTAACAGGCGATGAATTTTGATTTGTTTGTAAATCAAAGGTATTAGTTTACTACCGGAGAGAAAACAAGAGACGGTTTGTTAAATCTTTTAACCCTACCCTTGAAAATACTGCTGCCGATTTGTCCATTTACACATAGTTTTCCAAGTCTATATAACCTGTGCGTTCTAAATTAAGATTTATCAAGGTTAGCGGCTTAGGTCTAAATTTCGCTAAGGTGTAAAAATGTCTAAATATCGCTAAGTGTAATAATTGGACTAAATTTCGCTAAGGTTTAATAATGTCTAATTTCGCTAAGATGTAATTATGTCTAAATTTCGCTAAGGTGTAAAAATGGCTAAATTTTAGAACTTTAATTGGTTAAATGGCCATACAATTATCTTTACGACTTATATATCAATATCTGAGTTTATTTGCGGCATCATGTTGTAAGCTCGTCGACATGCTGAATCATATCATTAAGTATCGAGCTCGCATCATGGATTTAAGTGTTCCCGATGAAGGTAAACCAGAACAACTCTTCAAACGCACCAAATTTACATTAAGTTTTATAGCCACTTTATAAAACAAGCCAGTGTATACGTATGAGTAATCTTCTCACTCAAACCTCTATAAAATGAAGAAAGTTCAGTTTATGAAGTGTGCAATCGAGATTATGTACAATTTGATAATGGTATGAAAATCCTGTACGATGGCGCAGACAATACATAATACCAATAATACATATGGTGGAGGACATTATAACCTAGGAAGTGACACAAGTTACAAAAATGAAATACAAAATTATAGTTCACTTTGGCCTTCAGATAATGCCCACCAAGGAAATAACACAAGTTACTAAATGAAACGGACCATGAACAATGTTGTGGTATTCAGATGAAGAACAACAATAAAAGGTGTTAACGCTGCCCTTTTGCTTTTGGTATTGTCTGTCTAGTGGTTGAACGTTTTTTGTTTGATCAGGTAATCAGAAAATCCATATTATAAATTAATCTTGAAAGATGTTTACTTTTCAGAGGGCTTGAAATCAAAGAAGTGGGAACCAAAAAAGGTAATAGTAGTTAAAATTGCGTACAGCCTTGGATCCTCGTCCAAACTTTCGTCAGGTTGGTAGCTGTAAGGCAGGACCAAAGGCTTTAATGGACGAAGATATTATTTCTGGATGATCATATAATTTCTTTTTTTTTAATCTATAGTTGTTTTCATCAGCGATGTTTTGATAATCATATAGAAATCTTATAACTTCATATTACAAAATTTAAACATACAGTATTTTACTAAGCATGTTTGCTCAAATCTAAATAAAAAAGTTTACTTCCTATATAAACTTTTGTAGAATAAAAACTTAGAAGAGGATGTTTATGACCCAAAAGATTTGACATACGATCACCTGACTGGTTTTCATACAGGTAAAATCGTCTTTTCATACAGGTAAAATCGTAGAAAGATAATCGTTTTTATCACAATAAATTTTTTAAGGGATCAATTTTTGCATGGTTTTTATTATACATTTGTATTTAATGACAGTCCCTGTTATTATGGGAGCAAATCAGAATGCCAAGGAAAACTATCGACCCTCCTAAGATAAATGACAGCCTCAATCAATGACAGAAACACCAAATACCTCTCAAATTTGCAAAAGACGAGAGGTACTGGAATATCAACTATATATATAGTAGCTATAAACAAAAATAATATATATAAGTATAATGTTGACCAAAATGGTACCCCGTACATTTGGCCAGCTTTTGTTGTGTTACAAATCGGGATTTTTCAACGCAGCCGCATATGGGATTATAAGGGATGTTCCTCGAGATAAAGGCTGTGTTTGGATATACGCCTAAGGCAGCCTATGGTTACCCATAGGTATATTTGGGTACCCATGGTTTGATATTTTGATATATAGAATATCAAACCAAAGGTACCTATGAATAACCATAGGCCACCTCTGGCGTATATCCAAACACAGCCAAAATGTCTATCTTGAAGAAATGTCTATCCTGAAGAGATGATCTTTAATGTAATACGTATTACATGATAACATGCGTTAAATAAACACACAAATGATTATTGTACTCATAACGGATGACACAAAGCAAGATCTAGTTTCGAACTTTAATTTACCATAACAGCTTTTCTATAAAAGCATGCAAAGCAAACCTTTGATCGACTTGCTTGCTATGTTTGCTTCGATGTTTGTAAACAAAAGAGTAGGCGGAGTGTCAGTCTGTTTAATACATACTGGTCTTTGATTGGACAATAAAAATTGACATACAATGTGAAACTTAACATTTAAATGGAGTTAATGTTTATTGTCCATTCAAATTCCAGTATATAGTAAACAGACTGAAAAAGATTACCTACCTGTTGTTTACAAACATCCAAACAAACATAGCAAGCAAGTTGATCAAAGGTTTGCTTTGCATGCTTTTATAGAAAAGCTGTAAGAAATGTTAAGGAAAGCTATATTCATGGTCTTCTGTTATACCCAAATTTTAAAATTTGTATAGATGCAGTGTTTTTGCATGAAATGGAAATGATGATAAAGAATCAAGGTACGTTCCAGTATTGCATAGTATAAGTATAGATCAGCTAATACAAACACAAATTAACATTAATCTTAGTTTCAATTATAATTTGAAGACATTTCATTATTCTGTTCACATTTGTATATAAAATAAGGAGAGGTGATATGATTGATAATGGAACAACTATCCAACAGAGTCCAAAGGAAGCGAAGGATTTAATTAACTATATGTGACCTTTCAGTCTTCAATAATGAACAAAACCCATACCGTATAGTCAGCTATAAAAGGCCCTAATATGGCTAAATGTGACATAATTAAAAACTAGACAAAGTGATGCCCCGCACTCCACTCTGAAGTCATTGTAGGACTTTATTTGAAATACCATTGGTCTGGGAGACACAAATAAGGCCCCGCAGATGCAAAGTTGAGCATGGGAGCACATAGGTCTATGGTTTACTGTTGGAGGAGGTATCCGGAAACGCTATGCACCTCCTATGCAGGTAAATACTCCAAAAATGACAAAGTTCAACTATCTCCCAAAAGAGCAAATATTAATAAAAATCAAAACCCTGACCACATGCACACCTTCAATATATGTACAAACAGCCAGCAAAGTGAAAACTTCCTAGTATCTAAACTGTAGGATGGAATAACTATATACCTATAATGGGACGGACGGACGGAAGGACAGACAGACGGACGGACGGACAGACGGACGGACAGGGGTAAAACAATATGCCCCCAACTTTTTGTTGCGGGGGCATAAAAAACAACGCCTGACTTATGACAAAACAATAAACGAAAATCAAATATGACAGCAACGGACAACCAATGAATTACATGTTTTTGACCACAGGGACTCTGTTATTGTGCCTAACATGATTTTGTGAGGTAGACGAAACCGGCGTTAAAATGATCAAATTGACTTTTTATGTACAAAAATAGGCAGATCGGTCATATTTTGACTTCATTAACTCACTGCTTTCATTTGGATTAAATTGGACTGATAACAGCTTAATGAGGCTGAAAAATGCTATTTTCTGTTAAGACATGCAAGCTTTTTACCTTGCGTAGACGTGCGTGAAATGTATTTCAATGTTTTTCTTCAAAATACTATATTTTTCAAAGAATCATAACGCATGATCTTTAAAGTTTCTCAAATTTCTAAACAACGCGCTATTTCATTATTGTAATAAATCACTGTATTTCGAAAATTTCGTAAAAAGGTAAGAACTGCAAATTCAAACCTTTCATACCTTTTTGTTTCATTTGTAATAACATCATGAACTCGTTCAGTGTTCAGTTTGATGGTCAATTGAAGCACAAGTGTGTGTAAAAAGAAATGCAAATTAACTTGTTTTCTGATATACAGAATATAAGTATACTTTAAATGCATTCAGAATAGGAACGTCCAGCAAAGTTAAATTGTGTATGATTAAGTATGAGGGTCTGGATGCGGATCTTCATTTCTATATTCTATATTATTTAACTATTTTTTCTCTATTCTTTACTTATGGTGCCCATTATTCTCAAGACTGACTGTAACATATCCAGACTCTCTAGTAAAAGAACATTGGTTTAGTCGTATTCATAAAAAAAAAATCGACTTGACCCTTTAGAAATATTAGGACAGAAAACTAATTAAAAGACAAACCATTACTATAATCCACAAACAAGAGTATTCTTATAATTTCTTAAAGATTTTCTAACTTAGGATCTAGAGTTGCCATCCTTGTCTTCATGAACAATAATTATTTTTACGTAATAAAATTTCGCTTGCCTGCAGAATACACCACAGGACAAATTTGAACAGGTGAACAGGTAAAGGTGAAGAAATTATTACTTCGTCCAATCGAATTGCTTGAGATTTAATAACAATGACCAGTCCATATCAAATTAAGTACTTGGGGTAAATTGGGTTGGGAGAAAATGAGAGAAAAAAATGATTCTTCAATGCAATTTCTTGTTAATACTACAAAACACTCAACACCAAAACTTTTTGTTAGAAGTTCAAAAACATATATGTCTGCATTGGCATCGTTTTTTCGCTCATTCATTAGCGTATTTAAAGCAATAGAAAGTTTGTGCTTCAAACGTCAACACAATTATTGACTTTATACAGAAAATTAACCTTCTTAAAGCGTTTAATATATAATACACGGATACATAGCAAAATCATTTTTGAAAATATCGCAAAAAATTTGATTCTGATTTATTCAGTGGTATTGTCATGAAGTGCGTTTAAGTGAACCATGGTATAGCAAACATCGAATTCACTCACAAAATCTCATCACACGCTATAGCAGATTATAAAATGTTTTAATCAATGTTTTTTGTCGTATTTCCTGTCTATTTGTATTACTTTATTAACGTATCAAACGCTGGCATAAATATTTCTTTGTTTAGAAGATTTTTCAGTATACGGATATGAATAGTAAACTGCACATTGCTAGAAAAGAAAGAATATTGATGCCAACGTTAAATACTTTAATAAAGTAATACAAATAGACAGGAAATACGGAAAAAAAAAGAAAAAAAAAAAGATTATTTTTTTTAATCTGCTAACGGAGTGGAGTCCCTGTGGTTCTTGACTTGGGACCAGCACTTTTAGAATTTGGTGGGTTAAACATGTCTTTGAGCTCTCACCCCATAACGCGGGACAGTGGTGTAACAAGTAACAATAAATAAATGAATTATGTTCTCCCAGACTAACGTATCAATCAGTACACATCCAACGGATTTAGTGCAAAGACGTCATAAACACGCTGGGAAAGCACGACCTTTTTCAATACTAAAACTTAGTATGCAGTCTTTGTTTAGACATTGAAATTTTAACTGTATTGGTACGCAAAACTGGTCGAGCATTTCTATTCTGTATCACGAATGAATATAATTTATAATTTTAAAATAAAAAATAAAATCCGCACATACTTCCTTTATACTGCCTATATACATTTTTTTTTAAATACGAATAATCGCATATGGCCTCTAAACGAAGTGTCAACAGATTAAACCATCTCCTGCTGTTTGGGGGTATCTCCCGTCATGCAACTTCATAGTCATACCCAAAAGAAAGAGTTGCGGTTAGGAACTTGACAAACTTGACAAAACCAGTAATATAGTCAGAGGGACAATTATAGTGGGCAAATGGGTTTTTTATAACTTAAAGTTAAACAATATAGCAAATGGGTTATTATAAAATTGTATTCACCGAGGTGGTTTGATGGTACAACGATACCTTTTCGATAATTTGACATTGCGCAATTTTAATTTCTTAATCTATATTTTTTTAAGCTACTGAATTATTGTTTACCTTTCAACAATGTTTGATATTTTTCGCTTATTCTATGTTAACACGGACAGAAGTTTATTTCATTCTTCACATAGGAACAGACAACAGAAGATCTGATGAAAAATCGGGAAAAGTAAATAAAATGAAAGAAGAAGATAATAGGAAAACAAAACAGACAGAAAAAGAAAACAATCAAAAGTAACTAAGATGACCACTGATTTAATTGGAATGTGTAAATGCACGAGTATGCCTATGCAATGGTGATGTGGTTACCATATCTCCATGAAAATATAGATAAATAAACAAAATATACCACGTTCGCATATACTTATAGTATTTTTTAAATTCCGTAACGTTTTGTTCTTCTGGAGTCTATATAATACAACAAAACAATGTTTCAGTAATCAATTCAATTACTTAAGCAAGAACTACTAACACTTCCAGAGCTCCTTTATTCACCCCTGTGTTTTTAGTGGCATTCGTTTTGCTCGATCTTTTTTTCTAGTTTTTTTCATTTAAAGTTTTGTTGATTTTGGTTTTCCTTTCATAGTTATTGATTTTGGTCATGTTTGATATAAAAATAAGGAGATGTGGTGTGATTGCTAATCAGACAACTATCCACCAAATTTCAAATGAAATGGATGTAACCATTTGTAGGCAACCGTACGGTCTTCAACATGAGAAAAAAGCAGAGTCTGTAGCTACAATATAGTAAAAGTATTAGTATGTGCATCTAGATAAGCAGAGTTTAATGCTAAATTTATAGAATGATTACCATCAATACTAATAAACTCATCAGGTACCAGGATTAACATATTGTAAGCCAGACGCGCGTTTCGTCTACAAAAGACTCATCAGTGATGCTCGAACCAAACAAATAAAAATCGCCAAATAAAGTGCGTAGTTGAAGAGCATTGAGGACCCAAAATTCAGAAAGGTTTTGCCAAATACAGGTAAGGTAATCTATTCCTGTGGCAGTTTCTGTTGTTTGTACGACTTTGCCCCCAGCAGAGCTATAGAAAAACAGTACATTAACGGGTGTTATACGGACACTTTTTGGATGATACACGGACACTTTTTAGTTGTTACACGGACACTCTTCATGGGCACTTTAAATTTCAATTAGATTTGAACTTTTTATTTCACCGACATATTTCCTGTCTTTTTTATTAAAATATTTACGTTGGCATCAATAACTATATTTTTTTCAATCAATTCCAGTATATTATTATTCATATCAGTACACTTCTTCAAAAGGGGGTTAAGGTTTTTCCATAAAAAATATTCTGATTCCCCAATTTTATGAGAAAAAATATATTGTTGTCAAGCAGATGACAAAATAAGATATCGCCTCGGACCTTCACCTGAATACTCGTGCAGAAAAAATTGTCCGGCAACAGTTGTTACCAGCCTGTTTCTTTGTTACCTTTGTATTGATCTAATACTTAACGTGAACAGATTTGAAGCTTCCGTGACAGCCAAAGATTAATCAATCCCATTATTATCAAGTTTGTTTTGTGCAACTGGTTTATAATTATTTAGCACATACTTACAACTTCTCGTCCAATCAAATTGCTTATATTTGCCTTCTAATTTTCATAGTACATACTTTTCCTGTGTACTAAGTAACTACGCATGAATGACCACAAGGGTAGATTTCATTGTATCGTAATCAAGATATTTAAAACAAAAATTGCCATTGGCTATTTTGAAATAAAATGCTGTGTTCCAAATTAAATTAAATAGTTTGTAATTAGTTTTCACATTGATTTTTAAATATCCTGCTATTAAAATCTTTGGATCTAAAAAATGTTTTTGACAATTGCAAATTTTATCATTTAAATAAAGGGTAATACATATGGTTCTTTATACCTTGATTAGAGTACAACGATATCTTAAAATTATGATAATGTATCATCCATGCAATTAGAAGTGGGACACTTAAAGACGTATCGTATCTGTATCTGATACGTTGACGTATAGGAACGTATCTATTGGTTATTGTTAAAATACATGTAGCAATCGAGAATAGGGAAAAGAGTTGGAAAAAAAGTGAAAGGTTGATGACTATTTTTGGTCTCTATCAATTTTAATACCTGAATGGTTTTTTAATAATTTTTTAAAAGATGTATTTAAAATGTGTTTATATACTTGCTTCTTGTATGTCAAAATCATGACTTCTTTTATCTATTGTTACATTTGTTGCCCTAAAGTTGATGTTTCTACGATATATATTTACAGAAACTAACAATACAATTATGAAAGCATGGACGACAGCAGAAGCTAACATCTACACACATTTAACAATCACTTGTTTGTCGTGTCAATCTATATACTTGTATATGTTTTAGCACTCGATATTTAAATCATTAGAACTACCCAGGCGTGAAGTTGAATTATATTTAACAATTAAATAAAATTGAGAATGGAAATGGGGAATGTGTCAAAGAGACAACAACCCAACCATAGAGCAGACAACAGCCGAAGGCCACCAATGGGTCTTCAAGTTTACGTTGACAATATCTATACGCGTACTTTAAATTTGCTAATAAATGAATCATTCAACATCAGCAGAGTAGGATTGGTGACTGCTACCAATTTTAATACATTTAGCAGGCAATACTTTTTTTTCAAAGAGTAAAAATGAAAGAGAACAAAATTTTCATCACCCTTTCCCTATTTGTTCCCTCTCTTATCCTTGTTCTCGAAATTATCATCACAGTTTTTGACTCAATCATTAACTATATCTGCATTAGTATCATTTAAATTCATGCCTGAAAAGTGATGATCGATGGTTTAAATATCGAGTGTTTAGATATAAACGAGTAAACATAAGTTGAAAACTATCGTGTTAAAAAGAGAGTGTATTAATGACCGAAAGACATCTAACATAACAAAAAAAATCCACATAAACATGTACTATTTAAACATGTAAATAATCAATTTTGATCAATAACCCATAGATACGTTCAGATACGTCAACGTATCAGATACGGATACGATACGTCTTTAAATGTCCCACTTCTATTACTTTGTACACAGAAAAGTGTGTACTATGAAACCTTGTGAAGGCAAATTAAAGCACCTTGGTGATAATTTTTTAAACTTTCTTAAGGAAAGTGATCTATTTCGTTATGAATTGATTGATTTATTGATTATTGGTTGCTTAATGTCCAGTGGCAAATATTTCATGCATGTTCAGGACGATGTCATGAATTGAAAAACTGTGATTATGTCTGAAGATAATGTGCCACCTATATTATTTATATATATAAACATATTCTGATAAATCTTTGTTTTTACTTTGAACTAATAAAAAAAAAACACAAAACCTATAATCTCTGATCTATTTATAGTTGCTTTTTAATGCCTATCTGCTAGACTATATCTTTGGGGACAAACTATCTATATGTTTCAAATTTATTATAGCTTTAGTTTTACTGTGAAATTAAAAAAATGTTTTCAAAACATGTAAAGCTTCCACTGCAATTTAATAATGGCCTGCTTTTGGTCAATTTATTTTGTCATCTTACCTTGTAAGAAGAACATGTATAGTAAAACACCGCTTTATATCAGTATACATACTTACACCAGCAGCTACCATCTTTTCATTCTGGAGTGAAGGGCCTTTTGAAATCACATATTTTACAACGATACTAGTGAGTAGATTTACAAAATTCGTTAATAAGCTCCGTTTTACAAACACCTGTGATACAAGTAGTCAGCCAAAATAAACTATCAATAGACCAATTAAAAGATTACTCGAGTTGTAAGTATGTGCTAAATTGGATAGTCTATGGAAAGGTATAGACTATGAAATTAAGAGCTCGGGGCAAGCCCCTCGCTCTAAATTTCATAGTATATACCTTTCCATAGACTAACCTAGACATAGGTTAGATAAAACATGACCAAGTATTGTCTGACCAATTTAGAACTTATTTACACCTTCGAGTGACATAATCAAATAAGCCTCTTATTGTAATGATCAAACTTTGATATTGGCTCACTTTAATTGTTAAAATGGTTAGTAAAAGGGATGACATAGTTTTGTGATACCAAAAAAAGGATGAATTATTAAAATGGAGAATTTTCTGCTTCAGGTACAGTTTAATCTTGTATATTTAAAATTCCCTCATTTTTAAAAACTAGCACTGTTATAAAAATCAGTTTTTCTAAAATTGTATAATATATTTTTAAATAATGACAAAACTTCATCAATAAAATTTTACTAATTTACAATCGTTTCAACATCAGATGCATTGATTTTAAGGTCTCGTATAAAAATAAGTTTAAATATTACATGTATTTGACCTACACCTTTTCCCCCTTTTCAATTCATTTTTTTGGGGGTCTATGTATGTACCATTAAATAACATTTACAATGTTGAAATTTCAACTCAAAATGATTTTATAGTTCTATTCTCCAGATTTCATTTATAATAATTATACAAACAAACAGTACTCCAGATTTTTTTCTTTTGTTCATTTCCCTAGGAAATTGCCTTGGGGGATTGGACACTTCGTTAGTGCAGTTTTTAAGAGTTCAGTTTTATAATTAATTTACAATGAAAAGTCATTCATGTATAGCATTTTATATGAATAAATCTTTATAGCATTAGCAACAAACTTGCTTTAGCAAAATAACAAGGTATATACATATATGACAAATATGACAGAATACAGAGAACAATTAAATAATGCAGAGATAACCTATAACAACACATACATGTGTACAATATATTAACTGATAATTTGCGATCTTCATTTCAATGCAGCCTTTAGATAACTACATAGTTTCTTAGTTAAGCTTTTTGACCCAGCTTGTAATAAAAAATTTAGCTTTCGTGTATTTGGCCATGAACAATAATATTTTGGCAAAAAGTTACATCTAAGTGTTCTATATGCAGGACAAATGAACACAAAATGGTATTCATCTTCAATATTATTCATTTTACAGCAACTACAAATACGATTGTTTCTAGGAATATTGTCATAGCGACCAGTTTCTAAATATAATTTCAAGCTTTCACTACGTAATTTGGTTAGTATATTGGTATTAAAATCATATTGTAAATAATTCTCCATACAAAAATCTAATTTAAAACATTTATAGATAGATAGTTTTTTACTAGCATTAATATTAGCATACCAGCATTGATAATATTGATCGTTGATACGAGATTTAATAAAGTCAAATGATATATTTGTGTTATCTTGGTTAATCCATATTTAACTCAAACCTAAACTAAAAAAAGGTCTCTTACATTGGATGCCCGATTTTTTTTGTCATTAGAAGCATCAATACATAAAATTTTATATACATCGTAAACAATATTTGGTTGGTCATGAATTAGATGCAACCAGTATTTAACAATTCTACATTTTCTACATAAGAACGAAATTGGTACAGTTTTACCCAAGTTGAGTATATAGCAACAAAAACGATTATGGACATATATACATCGTTATTGGATAGCCATGTACTATGAAACATAGAAGGGAACATACAGATTTTTCATTGGACGAGAATGGGTGAGTATGTTCTAATGTTTCATAATACTATTTACAAGAACATAGTTCGATCAAATAATTGTATTGTACTCGCTGCAAAATATCAATAACTGTGTTAACATTTATGTACTCATGTATGTGATAAACATAACTGTGTTTATTTTGATGTATTTGATCAACATGATAACAGTATTTACATTGATTTATATGATAAACATGATAACTGTGTTTACATTGATTTATGTGATAAACATGACAATAAAACCAAAAATGACTACAACGCGAAACTGAAGAATACTGATCGAATTCCCTGTGTTTGGTTGGGATAAAAGAGTTGCATGCTTTAGAGAACATGATTCAATTCCATTATAGAAATCTGTAACACTAGAGTCACCTAACCTTTTTAATCTGTACTTTATGTATATTCCTACATCTCCGTTCATGCATGGATGACTGTTAATGATTGTTAGATGCTCTTCACATTTCTCTAAACAGGTATCGTTTGTAGAACAATGATCTTTCACAGCATTTCTCATTTCAGTAAATTCTGGATTTGATAGATTTGTAAATTTTGTTGACTGGCAACCTCTGACAATCGGTGCTATAAGTTCACAAACTGGAATGCTTTTCCAAGATGTACAAAATTTTCGTTTCACATTCTTTGCAGGATAAAATGTTAAAAATCCAAAGCACATTTCGTCATTTGTACCTCGTCCAAAGTGAGTATAATTAAGTTTAGATGTGGTTTTAAACACACAGGTGGTTTTCAGTTCATCTCCAGGTTTTATTTCGATTGGGATGTTAAAACTACAATAGAAAAAACTTATTGAAGAAACAAAATCGTGTAGCATTATTTTTTTTTTACTGTAATTTTTTAGAAAAAAAACCTTTGAAGTCTTGTTTTCATGAGATCAAACCGGTCTTTTTCAATTCAACGTTTAAAAAGACTTTCCAAATTGTCGTCCTTGATTTTTGTTCATTTGATTTACTCAAGTAGCAATATGATGATGACCATTACGCATTTGTAGAAAGTGACGAAAACATGTAAAAGCATCTCATGTTTTGGTAAACTTATGAGTAAGGTGTTTAAATTTACTTTTTCCCTTGTAAAACAGAGGTCCCGGGTTCGAGTCCCGGTGGAGACTAGCAATTTTGTAATGAAATTCATGCTCTCCGGTTACACTGAGTTTGTTCGAATTAAATAATATGCGTTTGGAAATTATGTTTATTGCAGCTTAAAATGACCTTTTTGTCTGTTTTTACTGCACAAATCCTTGGTGAAATGAGTCACTTTTATTGTCGAATTTGTGTGATTTCCATAATAAGTGTACTTATATATATTCAAGAAAACCTGGAACACACACTCTACACAAAAAAAGGAAGAAAAGAGAGAAGCAATCCCCCTCAAAATAAAACAACAACCAACAAATAACCATAAAAATAAACGATAGAGATTACAGGATAAAAAGATGTAAAATAAGAGACAAACTGTATACCTGCGCGTGACTGGTTTATCATAATCAAAATTTTCTTCGTTTGTAATATCCCGAATTTTTCTGCCATTACGTATCAACTCTATCTTCTGTTTTTTACCTGTAAATAAACCAACATTCTGTAACCAAACTTCCTGATAGAGCTATATTTCTAAATTGCCATATATTGGCTGTCTAGTATCCTCGTCTCTGACACGCCCGTATAGTAATTGTCTATGTTGCTGTCTTTTTCTGTGATACTAATAATTCGATTTATTATTATTTTATGAACTGGTTTTTATGATAAATTTTCAAATTAATTATTTGATTTGCAACTGTTTGAGATGAAAGAGAATGAATTGATTACTCAATGACCATGTTTAACACTATCGTATGCTTACATGTTTATGCATCTGTCATCTATTTGGTCAAGGATTGTTGATTTCTCCATATATGCGCGCCGACATACGTCCAATTTGTATTTTTTTTGTTTAAACATTTTTTTTTACGGACGCCATCACGAGTTTGTTGACCATTGCAATGAAATATCCGTTTTCACCGATGACAACGCATATGTTCCAATTGTCGTTATCACAATCCTGTCCTCTGTTTCGTTAATGTAACATCACAAAATTAGACTTATCACCGAATTTTTACTTACAATCTTACATGACCAACACATCGGATGCCACATATGGAGCAGGGTCTGCTTATCCTTCCGAAGCACCTGAGATCACCCCGGTTTATGGCAGGTTCCTAATGCTTAGTCTTTAGTTTTTAATGTTGAGTTTTATAGACTGTTTGTAAAAGACAGTAGTTTTTAATTGTTGCCTAGCATTGTCAGTTTGTCTTCCACTTATGAGCTTGAATAGCTGTTTGTTATCTTCAGCCTCTCTTTTTATGTTGAAATCGTTTACAATTCATTGACTCATACCTTGCCATCTCATTTTTTTTGGCTTGCTGCAGGATGATGAAGGCAATTGCTGATATCTTGATATCATTTTTTTTTGTAAATTTGTGTTGTTTTGTTTTGTGTTGTGTTATTGTTATTTTTTTAACCTATATTTCACATCTGTTTTACTTACCTCAACTATTTGTCTCTAGTTATGACATCGATCTATATACCTGTTTTTTTTCTCTCAACGTAACGCAGATTAACCAATGTAAAAGGCTTCAACAACATGTCTAACTAAAACTGACCGAAGAAATCATAATTTTGATTCAATTTCATCCAAACTTTCTGGTGATGTTTTATTTAAAAGTATGCGTCTGCGAGTAAATCGCCACAGTTAGAACAAGCAGACGACAAAACCTTGTTGAAAGACACTTTAATTATTTTTAAATAGTCGAACATATGTACAAGTAACATCAACATTAAACGCACCCTATGAATCTTGTAAAAAATATTGTCGTAAAAGTGTTTAAATCTATACAATTCTTAAACATCTATAATCAGGCTAAACTTTTTTCGGTTAAGCATTCTAAATAATATATAAAACAATTGGATGATTTGTGAATTAACCATATTTACGAAAGTGAATGTTAAAATGTTAATGCACATATAAATAGAAATAATATAGGTATGAAATCGGGCGCAGGATATTTTAGCGCAGACATTATAGCCCATTTTAGCGCAGGATTAATCCGTTCACCTGTATTTTCGATAGCCCATTTTAGCGCAAACTTTTTGGTTGAATAGTACCCACCATACTAAAACCATGTAATTTATGCTGGCTTAATGTTTAAGTTGTTTGCATTTACACTTTGGTTCATCATGAAAATAAATGTTGTTGAAACAAACAGAAGAAAGAAAAGTATAATATGTGATGGGAACTATTATAGGATAGAAAGAATATCTGACCGAATACTATGTAACTGAAGATTTTATGTTTCCATCTAAGCTTTGAACAGAAGTTCCATGTAATTCAAACTGAACAAGTAATGGTCCGGAGTCGTTTCATGCCTATTGTAATGGGAAATTTTCTAGTTGTCACCAAGCCATTTACGTTTTTCTGGACACGTTCATAAAATTGCAAACAACAACATTTAGCAAAATAAGAAGTATAGATGAATTTGCACCTAAATCTAAACAAGATAAAGAGAAGGAGCAGTTCCTACTATACTTTTCTGAACAGCATTGCACAGGGGAAACACTACAGCTCAGGTGGATTTTGCTTTGTCCACCCGCCCACAGTTGGAGTGGGCACCGGGTGGGCAAAATTTCTAGCTTGTCCACTCTGCCCACCCATAGGAGTGGGCATGCAATTTCTTTTGTGAATCGAAAGACTTGCAAGTACAATCAATTGACAAAAGCAGATAAGCAATTGAAATCAATATTTTTACACACAAAAAAAAAGAGAATATAGCTAGAGTGGGCACAGGTGGGCTGTAAACTGTGGGCAAGTGGAATAAGCAAAATCCACAAGGACTGTTGTGTATACCAAGAGCCCATTACGTACGTTCTCTAGGAAATAAATTGCAGGCTTGTAACATTTGTGTTAACCTTTAGACTTTTAGTGCTGTATTGTAATGGACATGATATTTTTTATATTGTGCTTTATTGATTCTATTGAAATTTATTATTTATTATTTTATAATTTCTGTCGCACTTGATAATTTCGCTTTTCGCTAAAAAGGGGTTTAAATTTTTGCGCTAATATGGTTAGAAAAACTTCACTCAAATGGGTTATACGGCCATAAAACGTCCGAATTTTTTCGCTATAATGTCCTGTCAATGCGCTAAAATGTCCTCCGCCGATAAAATCATCAAGAATAAGTGATCGCCAACAAAAACTCACCCAAATAATGCATATGATTTATTGCGGCAGTGACATAAATGGGACCTTTTAATTTTTCTTTGCTACATTTTTTAGAGCATGTTCCAACAACTTCAACATCTGATCTTCCTGGTGGCAATTCAAAACTACTACTGCCAACCATCATAACTGCGGCATCATTTTGTCTAAGTTTACTTGTATAATAAAGCGTAAGACCAGAGCTATCGACATAATCCTCTTTCAACTCTGGGTTATTCCAGTGAGCCTAAAACAAAATGTTGATGTATCACACTTTACCCGATATTATTTTCTCTTCAAAACTTCATACTTTCTTATGTATATATTAAATAAGAGTGGTGAAATATGAACATTACTCAGCTGATTAATATACCAAACAAGCGTGCATTCTCGGAAATATCAAATTAATTGTGTGCAAATTTAAAAACTGTACAAATCAAGCAAAATCATATTTTTATTTCTATTATTTATACAATAATTGTCTAATAGCAGGCTAAGAAAGAAATAGAGTAAATGCACTAGCTACCAACCGATCAAAATCCATGATACTTATAATAAGGCTTGTTTCTGGAGTAAAAGAACTTGACTACCACATCCCTTCGTAAATTTTACGGACTCCATCACGAGTTGGTTGACCGTTATGGAATAACCTTTTCACAGATGATATCGGATATGTTCTTTATGTCGTAACAACAATACCCTTCCCTTTTCACGAATGTGACCTACCGACTTAGACTATTTACCGGATTTGTAATAACATAAGCAACACGACGGGTGCCACATATGGAGCAGGATCTGCTTACCTTTCCGGAGCACCTTAGACCTCGCCTAGTTTTTGGTGGGGTTTGTGTTGCTTAGTCTTTAGTTTTCTATGTTGTGTCATCTGTACTATTATTTGTCTGTTTGTCTTTTTATTTTTGGCCATGGCGTTTTGAGTTTGTTTTCGATCTATGAGTTTGACTGACCCTCTGGTATCTTTCGTCCCTCTTTGAAAGTTAATATTCTGTAAACAAAACTGATCCTTTCCATGAGACCGTTTTTGTTTTTGTCTGTATACATTTCGTATTTTTGTTTGGCAAAGGTTTATCATTTTAAGTGTAAAACGGAAGAAAAACAAAAACAAAAACCAACCAGAATATATGTATTCTTAGTTAAAAAACTAAAAGTCAAATAAAACAAAACAATTATTACAATCTGAATATAGTAACTTTTCTGTATTGACTTTTATCTTTTATGAAACCTTTGTTAATCATCTAATCGCATGGGTATCCCGATCCGAAATCCGTGGAGTAATCCGAATCCCGCAATTAATGAAAAATACAATCGGCGGGGAAATAAAATCTGCATCAGATTCCCACGGAGGATTATAATTCTCCGTGGGAATCGGATCCAGTTTAACTTCCCCACTGTTTGTATTTTTCATTAGGTGTTCCTCTGGATTCGGATTCCTCCGCGGATTTCAGATTTGTATTAAAAAAATTCTATGCATACCAAGATATGTATTCATTACCAAGGGTAGCGCACGTTTATATCCTTTCACACCAATTCTTTATCCAAACTCTTTTAGTGCACACTATTCGGCAGATCCCGCGTGCACGCACTTACCTGAAGCAGCACACGTTTATATCCCTTCATACCAATTCTATATCCAAACTCTTTTGGAGCACACTGTCCAGCAGATCCCACAGTCCATGCACCTATGATGTCACTGCAACCTTTTCCTCCCATCTTACATAACTTAGGTTTATTTGGATCAATCTGTCTGACATCATCTATATAAATCAATTTCAAAGTTTTTGCATAAATCTTTTGTACCAACTAAAGAGGTGTATGAATGCAAATGCAACTTTTTGTTTTTCAATAAAATCAATTTCGTCTTCTTAAGGACAAGACAAAAAAAATCAATAGAATAAAACTGATTTAAAGTTATTTTGAAATTATGACTGAAAAAAATCCATTTAAACTTTGTTTATATTTGAAATAGATGTGAAAACGGAAGGTACTATAAACACACAATGTTTTTAAAACCTAAATGCTGATGCGCTATAGAAACATGGTTATGCTCTCGTCTTGTCTGCAGTAGGGTCCTTGTGGAGAGGCCATCCGTTAGGACAACGAGCGGGTTGCATGAAAACGCAAAAGTTTCGCATGTTCATTTTAACGTTTTAATTTTACAGTTTTTTTGGTGATTTTAACGATGGCAGATAATTTGGGAAGCATTGAAAAATTCTACTTTGAAAGGGAGATAATTCTAGTTACCGGTTTACCCAACTGTTGATAGCTTTTCTGCTTTGATTCTATACCAATCTGAGTTCTAAGAAACATCTACGTCATTTGGACTCTGTTGGATAATTGTCTCAATAGTAATCATACCACTTCTCCTTGTTTTTAAATTAAAGTTCATAAAACAATATTTGAGTTATTTTACCCGTCTCTTTACACCAAAACAACACCATTTGATTAGTTTGACCTGTATATTCACACCCAAAACAACACCACATGAGTTATTTTACCTGTATTTTCACCAAAACAACAACATATGAGTTATTTTGCCCGTATTTTCACACCAAAACAACAACATATGAGTTATTTAACCGTTATTTTACCTATAGTTCACACCCAAACAACAACATATGAGATTTTTTCCCCTGTATTTTCAAACCCAAACAGCAATAAATGAGGTATTGTACCTGTATCTTCACACCCAAACAACAACATATGATGCATGACATAATTGTTTACAATGTAAGGTACACTGGCAATCATGTGGAAGTCTCCATCGCTTGGTAAATCAAACATAGTACACATGTAGTTTGTCTCGGTGCTCGGTACCTTGGTCTCGGGCATTCGAATTGTGATATTCATTACATCTAAAGAAATGAAAATTACTAAATCTATAGAATTTTTGTAGAAGTTAGACAAGCATAATAGTTTTCTGTGTATTTAAAAAATATATATTTATGAATTTGGGTTACTGTCTCATAGTCGTGTAGTCCACAACTCCTTTTATATATCTTAATCACTGTTTATAATGATCCTAAGTATGAATCAAAATATTGAACTATTCAAGCTTTAGAGATTGATAAGCATGTATTCAGGAATTCGTAAAAAGACACACAAAAGTCAGTCCTTGCTTTCAATCCGAAATATAAATTGAATTTATAAAGAAAAAATGGTTTGATATTTGAATTTTTAGCTTTAAAGTACTTGCGTGCTATTTTTTTTATTGTAAGCTAAAGAAAACTGAGTTTGTACAACATCATTTATATGTTTAATTTTGTAACCTACATAGTTCTGACTATATATGTACATGTATGTATATACTACCCTATACTGATAAGGATTACACTTAATAAAGGTCATCTAAAGGTCAACCTACGATGTTTGACAACAATTAAAGACAAGTGTTTTTAAGTCTTGAGTAGTTGTAAATACATTTTGAATAAACTATCGTTAACCTTATTCACCAAATGACAAAATTCATTTACATATTGCTTCAGATAATCTCTGAAGAGGTTTCTGAATTAGGCTAGGGGTTTGTAGAAACTTATTTCAGAGTAATTTTTTAATATCAATTAGTCGATACACAAAAGGCACAAGAAATGTAATGAAATACAACAAAATCAGATCAAATAGTCCAGATAAGAACACGTTACTCTATTAGACTGTACAAAATAACGAATATGTGTATGAAACCCAAAGTATTTATTCAGAATTACCCATTTAATTCTTGCTTTAAACTATAAAAAAGAACGTTTATCTACACACGTGTGGGCGGAATTTTTAAATAACACTAGTATAAAATTACAATCTTATCAAAAAAGTCAGTTAAGACAAACAGTCATGATAAGAATATATGAAATGCAACCTTTTTGACATATTACTCCATTTTTTGTGATAAATGTAACATCAACATATTTATGATATCTCATTCCTTAATTATTGAGTTTATCATATGACTTCACTGCAAACATGCGCATATTGAACCAATTAACTTGGAATATGGTACTGTGAAAGTATACTGAGTACTAGCGTATTGTACTTTGTTATCTAGACAGAATACTGGTGTACTTTTTTAAAACTACAATGTACTTGTATTTTGGGTGTATGGCTGGGGTTTTATGCTACAGACAACTGGTATGTTGTAAATTGTTAGTAGCTACCGTGATATAGTACTGACGTTTTGTAATTTTTTTTTTAAACTTGGCGTCGACGTGTTGTATTTTTGTTAGCTACAGAGTATTGGTGCTTTGTATTTTTGAAAATTACCAACAGATTTCAACAGGAGTAACATGACGGATGTCACTTCAATGTGTAGCCGGGAATGTTGATTCTTTCACAGCACCCCCGATTCTTGGTTGGTCAGGGTTGCCCAATCTTTAGGTTTCTAGTATTCTGAATAGAATTTCGTCTGCTATTGAATTTTTCTTTCTGTATTATATTTTTCTTTTAATGGTGTTGTCTGTCTTTTTTTTTTTTGCTTATCATTTTTGATTGGCCCTTGATCTTTTCTTTCATTTTCGTTACAAGGTTATAGATTTCTGTTAGCAATAATGGAAGCTGTTTTTCATTTACAAATGAAATCAATGGCCGAAGGATATAAAAGTTGCGTAAGGATTAGCTGTTTACAGAATGAAGTCATCCATGCTAAGATAATACTGACTTTCATCGTGAATGGCTGCACATTTGAGTTCGTCTATATCACAGTCCACCCATGCATTTTGTTTCTTGCATTTCTCACTTTCCCAAGGATCACAAACACCTGTTTTAAAAACATTGCATTTGGCTTATGTTAATATTTTCAATTTCAGTATTTAATTCGCCTCTGACTCTAGTTAAAAATATAAACTTTGAAGAATAAAATTTAAAAGAGTATAATTTTCATTTAAATACCACATTTTAATTAACCAATCTATATTCTAATTCGAATTCGCCGTTGCAAATCTAAAGGTATTCTATGTAAATTTGATAGGAGTTTGATGAGGATTAAGACATCAAATGACAAATTTTTCAAATATTTATATAATGCTGTAGTTTAAGATCCTTTTTGAAATACTAAAGATACTCCAGAGAGAACCAACCTGGATGTTTTATTTTATTTTGTCTCTGCGGAATCGTCTCTGGTGTCCAAACACAATCAGGGTCACCAAGTTCTTCTCCATTACTTATTCCATCTTTGTCAGAATCAAGCTGGCATAAAGATTTATTCCACTTCTGCAAATGTTATGAATCAGATTTATATATAAAAAAAAAGAAATAAAAGAGGGGACATTCAAACTCATCAGCCGAAAGTAAACCGACAACACCATGGGAAAAAAAAAAACAACAGACAAACAACAGTGCACAAAACCCAACATAGAAAACTAAAGCCTGAGCAACACGAACCCCACCAAAACTGGTTGTGATATCAGGTGCTCCGGAAGGGTGAGCAGATCCTGCTCCACATGTGGTACCCGTCGTGTTGCTCATGTTAGTACAAACAAACCCGGTGATAAGTTTAATTCGGTAGGTCACATTCGGGCAAAAGTGGACGGGATTGTTGTTACGACTATAGGAACATATCAGTTGTCATCTGTGAAACGGATATTCCATAACGATCAACCAACTCGTGATGGCGTCAGTAAAATCTACGAAGGGATGATTTCAACTTCACAACCTGGAACTTTTGGTTTAATAGCTTCCTTGTGAGCAGCAACCCTCTATCAAGGAAATCATGATAGGAAATACAAAACCTGGAATATCGTATTAACTGGGAGATATATACAAAAAAGGCAACAGTAGTATACCGCTGTTCGATAGTCATAATTCCACTAAGCAAAAGCAGATCCGGGTAAGAAACTAAAACCCAGGGAAACACATCAATTATAAGAGGAAATCAACGGAACAACAGAAACACCGAACTACAGCAAAAGCAAACGCCAACATTCATAGAAACGGACTGTCTGATAACAATTGCCATATTCATGACTTGGTACAGGACATTTTAAGAAATAAATGGTGGGTTGAACCGGGTTTTTGTGGCTAGCCAAACCTCCCGCTTATATGGCAATGTTAAAAATACCGCTAAAATGACAACACGACGTGACAAGAATACATTACAAACAAACTCAAGAAGACTCAGCACAGAGAAATACATAAATAAATAATAAAATAGTATATACATGTAAACCGAAGAATACTAGTTACAACGGACACCTCCCATGAATTTACGACAGCACACCAGGACACCACAAACGAATTATAAACTGTGCGTCAAATGAATGGATCAACGTCACAAAAAGTGACGTATATCTTGTGACATTAATATTATCACAGGTAAATTTCTAAAAAATAAAACAGATTTGTTTTATTTTTAGACACGTACAAGAATATTAAATTGGGATAGAGTTTGTAATGGTGTTATTTTATGTATTTTGTAACCATGACAAGAATATAAAAAATGGAATGCGGGCGCTGATATAATGTTGCCACATAGAAATGAAAAGTTTACTATTGGGAAACAGAAATCAATTCTTTTGTCGTAAATTTTTGTTTTCAACTGCACCTCATTGTCAATTTCTAGATGTAAGTCAAGATATGAGGCCGACTTAACTGTATCTGTTGTATCTTTGTCTCAAGTTCGTTGGGATAGATGAGTTCAGCATAGTCACCAAATTTTGAATTATTTAGTGAGAGAGAGAACATCATCTTTATAGAGGAGAGTGAAGTTAAAGGATACTGCTAACTTCTTTTCTTTCTTCCTAAGAAGTTCCTGTATGAAGTTAGCCTCATATGAATAAACGAACGAGTTGGCAAGAAGATGAGGTTAGTTGGTTTCCATGGGAATGCCGATTGTTTGTCGAAAAACACGTCCTCGAAACGTAACAAATATGTTGTAAATAAAAAAAATCAAGCATCTTGATGCGTCAGTTTCAGAGAATGTTTTGTTTGAATCAGAGTAATTTTTTTTAAAGTACGATATATCCCTCCCTAAGACAAGATACTTGTATCTACGTTGGCCATTCTTTTTTATGAAACAAAGCAGGACCAGCTCTTTCAAATTGTCTTTTATTTTGAAATGGGGAATACTTGTGTAAAGTGAAGAAAAGTCAAATTTTTTAATACTATTGCAAGATGAAATAGTCTTAGATTGTATGTACTCTAAAAGATCTTTGGATTGTTTTAGTATCAACATCTGATTCACACCACCTCTAGAATAGGTAGTTTCACAATAACTTTGAAGCCCGGTTTTGATTGCTGATAAAATTGATGTTAATAATTTAGAAAGAGGTTTCGTGGAGCACTTGGAAGACCCAACAATATAGCGTTGTTTGTAAGGACGCTTATGTAGTTAAGGTATCTAATACAATGAAGGAAGATCCAGTTCGTAAGGAACAGTGAACAGACCTATGAATATCCAGGATTATTATCCTTGGTAAGTGTCGTGGGATATATGTTGAGTTTCCAAGTGAATCGTCAATACCTAATTGATTTATCAAGCAGTTTATGTAATGTGATTTACACACCAAAACGATGTTGTTTGGGGCCTTATCTGCGGGGACAACAACATATTTGTCATGGAGGTAGGATAGGTGTTTTGCAACATTTGGATCTTTAAAGATTGATGAAGCATGGGTATTCATAGACCCATTAAGTTTTCTAATTCTGATTTGTATCAATGACCTCACAGGCTTTGTCCATTCGGAAAGAGTATCTACGTCTTCTTTCTCGCGTTTAACCCATTGCCTGGCATAATAAAAAGTAGCATGATTTGAAAATGAAACACTTTCGTCCAGATCTTTTTGTGTTGATTGTTATGAATTTGAGATCAATATGATTAATAACATTTCGAAATAGAATGTAGTACATACATGCATATGAGAATCGATGATGAGGATATCATTATTGATATTTCACCAATATAGATTTTATCCGAAGGATTGCTGGTAAGTGTGTTGTTAATTGCACACCAACGAAAAGAGTTTTACATGATCGCAATTGTTTACTTGATCGTTGCTATGTATATCTAAATAAAAATATAAGTTGACAACATGATTTTCTTTTAATTATTTTCTGTTGCATTACACAATGTTGTATAAGTTACGTGTTGGTATCGTTGATGCCAATATTTTATAGATTGACGGATGGATTGGTGTTATTGGTGGCAAATATTACATGCATATTAGGAGACAAATATATTAATGCGATATGAATATGAACCAACATATGTTATAGACTTGAACCAACATATGTTATAGACTTGGCCAGATGTTTTATGAGGTTTAAATGAATATGAACCAACATATGTTATAGACTTGGCCAGATGTTTTATGAGGTTTAAATGAATATGAACCAACATATGTTATAGACTTGGCCAGATGTTTTATGAGGTTTAAATGAATATGAACCAACATATGTTATAGACTTGGCCAGATGTTTTATGAGGTTTAAATGAATATGAACCAACATATGTTATAGACTTGGCCAGATGTTTTATGAGGTTTAAATGAATATGAACCAACATATGTTATAGACTTGGCCAGATGTTTTATGAGGTTTAAATGAATATGAACCAACATATGTTATAGACTTGGCCAGATGTTTTATGAGGTTTAAATGAATATGAACCAACATATGTTATAGACTTGGCCAGATGTTTTATGAGGTTTAAATGAATATGGGATATGTGTACTTTTTATTTTAGGGAAATGGGGGTACTTCTTTGTTTATGAGAAAAAGAATACAGTTTCTAAATATCCGGGAAATTTTTCTAAAATTAATTCATACACAAAATTTTGAAAACTTTGGTACCAAGAGAAGGTTTAGTAAACAAAATAACCCCTCAAAGCCTCCGAAGTCCCGAGATCCCCCCGGTGTTTGGTTGTGTTCGTGTTGTTCAGTTTTTGTTTTCTTTGTTGTGTTTTGTGTAGTGTTTTCGTCTTTTTTCGTTTTTTTTACCATGGCATTGTCAGTTTGTTTTCGACTTATGAGTTTGAATATCCCTTTTGGTATATATTTCGCTTCTCTTTTAAAAAATGTCCATTATTATAAATGACTTCATAATGAATATTCATTAATATGATAACACCGAAAAGAAGGTCCAATAATAAATGATAATCTACACCAACCTTTCCAAGTCGAAGAAAATCCTTTCCGAAATCGTTCAGTGGGCCCTCCCCTCTGTCTGCTCTATGTCCAACGCCGTGCCATATGTAATTCGGTTTACATGGATGTGGTAACTTATCTCCATTAGGAATCACATCTTGAAACCTGGGAAAGGCTACTGCTACATGACTCACGGTAATAAGAACACACAACTTAATGACCAACCTATAATCAAAACTTAACCTTATTTGTAGAAAACTCTGGTTTCCTATTAAAAGACTACTGTAAAGTAAATAAACTCGTTATAGATACTAGGATTAAAATTTTGTACGTTAGACGCGCGTTTCATCTACAAGTGACTCAACAGTGACGCTCTAAATAAAAAAGTTAAAAAGTTATAATAAAGTACTTGGTTGAAGAGCATTGAGGACGTAAAATTTCAAAAGGTTTTGTTAGGGAAATTAATGCTAGTACTTTCATAAATGGTCAGTACAGATAAAATAAATCGATTTTAAGATTTAATTATTCAAAATATACTGAACGTAAATTTAACCCTACGCACAGACAGTCGGCAATTCGTATTTTATAATTTAAGTTACACATGTCAAGGTGAATGGCAATAAGGCAGCAACTCAACAATACGAACATTTAAGAGAGCGAGATTTAAAGCACTGTGGGTATAGTAAGTTTTCCCTGAGTCAAACCAAAACAACCGAAGAATACAACATTCTTAAGTTATATAGAAAAAAAAAAAAAACAACAACAACAAATACAAACAAACAAACACAAAAACCCAAATAGACAAAGATCTAAGAATGATATAAATAAAAAACCAACAAGACAATACAAGGAGATATTGACGGACACATTAAGTTTTCAATAGGATAAAACAAATTTCTAAAATAAATATTATAAAAAGCTTTTACAATGTTCTAGATAATGTTTATTTCATTCAGATGACTACTATTTCTTCTATTTCTATTGGGCAACGAATAGTCAAGGCCATAACGAGGGTATTGCCAAACACCATACATAACAAAAAGGTCACCTAATTTACAAATTAAAGTTACTAAATAACTATGATAAAAAGGAGTCGTAAGAAAACCTTAATTCAGAGGACATGAAATTTACAACAAAACCAATAAAATAACAGAGACTGATAAAACACAAGACAACGAACAGTGACAATACGCATCATCATTCGGATCATCACGTCCAAGTCATTACATCTAGTCAGTCGTGCCAAATCAGCACTAATGTTAAAGTAAGGAGATACGGTATGATTGTCAAGGAGATACGGTATGATTGTCAAGGAGATACGGTATGATTGTCAAGGAGATACGGTATGATTGTCAAGGAGATACGGTATGATTGTCAAGGAGATACGGTATGATTGTCAAGGAGATACGGTATGATTGTCAAGGAGATACGGTATGATTGTCAAGGAGATACGGTATGATTGTCAAGGAGAAAACGATCGAAATCCTGTTTATCCACCTGTCATAAGATTTTTGTATTGGCTATGAGTTTACTACATATTTTTCTATGATCACCGAAATTTATTCAACGCCGAACAGTAAACCAATCGCCTATATCCATCCGTGTGTTCGATTAACTGATTGATTGATTGTTGGTGTTGTAACGCCACTTTCAGCACTCTTGGTTATATCGTGACGGCCATGTATTTTTTTGTCATGGTTTTGTCGCTTTCTCTTCGACTATGAAATTTGATAGTGCCTTCGGAATCTTCTGCCTCTTATTTTACTGTCCCACGATTTTGTTCCTGACCAGGCTTCCTATAGTTATCAACGACTTTATCGTCGTCTCGCTCTGCTGTTTTCACCGACATGATATTATCATCATCATTATGAAAACCCACAAAGCAATGAATGTTTGGGCAATACAAACTACAACTAGGTGCCCCGGAAGAGAAAACATGTTACTTTAGAATAGCAGCATTATATCGAATCGCTGACGTATATCAACTTGTGCTTAAGATGCATAAAGTTGGCGACGGTGCTACTTCAAAGATAAAACAATTCATAATAATAATACACTTACCAATTCAATATTTTGTCCATAATGCATCGAGGATAACCAAAAAGTGGTAGTTTACACTTCATAAAGCGACAACCGGAAATAGATCATTGTGAAAACTTAATTAAAAGTTATATGTTCCACCCATAAACGAGTTATCATCATAATCATCCTTATAATAATATCGAAAGGAAGCTGCGAATTATACCTGAGTAGGCAATTACTTATTGCGTCCTACTTAAAGAAAATTACTGTTCCAACTTTTAAACTTAAAGTATCCTTCATGTGAATATACGTCCGGTCAGAATGGGGACGTTAAATCCGATGCATCGTGTAGCAGAGTGAAACACTCTTTGCACGTTAAGAACCCTTGCAACAACTCTTTGAGGGGTCCGTAGGTGATCTGTTGCAAGGTTAAATTTCTGTCCCTATCCAATATACCCTCATTTCCTGTGGCAGTATAAATTTCTCTGACCTTAATCCCGGACACCTCTATTACAGGACCTACCTATTGTATTTATTGTTAATTTGTTCTCGTCCTGAATATGCATGAAATATTTGCCACTGGACGTTGAGAAACCAACAATCAATCTATGTTGTGATGTTACACTATTGTTTTAGATAAGGGTGAAGGTTTGGTACCACTAAAACGTTTAAACCCGCTGCAAATGTTTGCACCTGTCCTAAGTCAGGAATCTGATGTTCAGTAGTTGTCGTTTGATGATGTAGTTCATAGGTGTTTCTCGTTTCTCGATTTTTATATAGACTAGACCGTTGGTTTTCCGATGTAACGTTAACACGCGCGCGCGTACAGTGATTGTCCATGTCGCTTCCTTTTTTTTTGCTAAACTAATAATTTGAATTATCATTATTGTATGAACTTTGTTTTTGGGGTAAATTTTCCAAATAATTATTTATTTGTGACGAAAGAGAGTGACTTGATTACTCACTGAACAAGTTTATACCATCATATGTTTTCAAATTTATGCCTCTGTCATCTGTCCAAAGGAATGCATCTTGTCAGGGATAATTGATTTCTCCATATAAGTGTGCAATATATTTCCTTGAATGTAACATCATCAAATTAGACTTAAAAATTTACTTACATGAGCAACACAGCGGATGCAACATGTGGAGCAGGGTCTGCTTATCCTTCCGGAGCACCAGAGATCACCCTCCGATTTCGATGGGATCCGTGTTCTTCAGTTTTCTATGTTGTGATTTGTAAAACTGGTTGTCCTTTGATCGTTTTTCGTTTTATGCCATTGCATTATCAGTTTGAATATCCCTTTGGTATCTTCCGTTTCTCTTTCCATGTTGAAATCGTTTACAATTCATCAACTAATACCTCGCCATTTCATTTGATTGCTAGGTGAAGGATAATGAAGTCAAGTACTGATATCTTGATATCTTTTTCTCATCACTTGGCGTCCGTCGTCCGTCGTCGTCGTCGTTGTTAACTTTTACAAAAAAACTTCTCCTCTGAAACAACTAGGCCAAATTTAACTAAACTTTTCAGGAGCCTGTTGTTCAGTGGTTGTCATTTGTTGGTTTGGTTCATAGGTGTTTCTCGTTTTTTTATATAGATTAGACCGTTGGTTTTCCTGTTTGAATTGTTTTACACTAGTAATTTTGGGGCCCTTTATAGCTTGCTGTTCGGTGTGAGCCAAGGCTCAGTGTTGAAGGCTGTACTTTGACCTATAATTGTTAACTTTTCATACATTGTGACTTGGATGGAAAGTTGTCTCATTGGCACTCAAACCACATCTTCTTATTTATATTGGCCATACTCATAATTGGGGTATGCATTTTAAAAAATGTGTCAGATGACCCCGCCTGTCAACCAAGATGGCCGACAAGGCTAAAAAATGAACATAGGGGTAAAATGCAAGTTTTGCCTATCGTTTTGAAAAAAGCTATAAATAGTGAAAATCTGACAGGCAAAAATGTTCAGAATGTTGAGCTCTAACCATTGTCATTTACGTCAAAACTTTCAGATGACTTCTTATAGGAGTTATCGCCCTTAAATGACAAATTGTACCATTTGGTTGTAATTTTTGCATATATCTCGAAAATTATAAATGAAAAACATCAACTTTATATAGCAAAACGGATCAGCAAGACAAGATCTACATATAAGTCATCATGACCAAAATTGTCAGACGACTCCTCATTTGAATTATTGCCCTTAAATGATGATTTTTATCGTAATTGCCTAATATCTTTAATACTATAATAGATAGATAGAATCTTTAAATAGCAAAATTGACCAGCAGGACAGGATCTACAAATAAGTCAAATAGTTGAAATCTTCAGTCGGCTCCTTGTTCGATATATTGCCCTTTAATGAAGATTTTTACCATTTTTTTTTGGCGTTTTGGCTAATATCTTTAAAACTATAATATACAGTCCGCTAAAAGTTAAGCACCACCTGTTTTTATTGCATCGAAATTTTTAAATTTTAAAAAAATCAGTTATTCCTCGAAAAAGAGAAAACATTTATGTAGCAATTTTTCTAACATATACCATAAACAAACCATAAACTTAAGTTTGATCACTGATGCAGGTTCTATGCATTTAAATTTTGCGTTCATAGAAATAGTGCAAATTACACAAATCAGAAACGGAATTTAAGTTTTACTGTGACTTTATTTTTTTACAACAAGTAATGACACAATATCATTAAAAGTCTCTACAAATAATCTTTGGTATGTTCGGCAAATAAAATGTCAATATTTGAGTCAATAGGATGTGTAACCACCTGTCTTCCGGTACAGTTCCATAACACGGCGTCTCATATTCTGTACAAGACTTCTGAACGTTAGTTGAGGAAATCCATTCCATTCATCTACAATTTCCACTGTTAAATCATCACGATTTTGCAAAGGTAGATCTCTGCAATTGAGATTTCTGCCAATGGCATCCCAGACATGTTCAATAGGGTTCATGGGTGGAGACATGGAAGGCCAAAAGATAGTGTGAATAGCTTCTTGCTCTTTGTACTCGATTACAATCCTTGTCCTGTGTGGTCTAGCGTTGTCGTCCATGTTCACGGGTCTTCACACAAGTGGGTGATTATCAAAATGAGGGACTACAATGTTTCTAAGCAACAAATCCCTGTATGTCTGTCCGTACATGTTACCCTGCAGAATACGCATACCAAGCATACAACGATATGAGAAGCAACCCTATACTGTGACACCACCAGCACCAAATGCAGTCGTTGGGCAAATGTTGTGTTGGTCATAGGCAGTTTTCTTTTCCCGCCAAACTCGTATTCTGCCATATACTGGTTGTAACAGAAACCGACTCTCATCTCACCAATGAATTTTTGCTAGCTTCTCATGTTCCAGCGTTAATGGTCATTAGCCCATTGAAACCTGATTATACCGTACCTGGCTGTTAGGGCAGGTCTCTTGACAATACGACGTGCTCTTAAGTTGCCTCTATGAAGTCGACGGACCAATGTTCGAACATTAACACGACCACACGAAGGCCAGTGGTGTCTAAGCTGCGGGACAGGAGTAAATGGGCTAGCTTTAGCACGACGAATAAGCAGTCTGTCATCACGACGGGTAGTTAAACGGGGTCTTCCGGACCTTAGTTTATCATTTACAGTTCCTGTGTCAACATGACGTTGTAAAAGTATGACAATGACGGTGTGATTAACATTGAAATGGTTACCTATGACCCTAGTGCTCCTACCGGCATTTGACATGCCAATTTCTTGCCAACGTTCAGCCACAGATAACTTACGCCTTGCCATATTACATAATGACTTGATGAAGGTCAAATTTCACCTGTACGCGGGACGGTAGGAAAATGATTTAAAGGTTTCGAAACAGTGTATTTGTAAAAGTACAGATGACCTTTAATAAAAAGTTGCTTGACGGGTTTATCGGAGTTCAATCTTTATAATCGAAATGAATTTTCTTAGTGTATGTTAAAGGCAATTCATAGCACCAAACATTAACAATTTTTTCGCAATAGTTAAAAAAATATTGCCATTTATATTTAGGTGGTGCTTAACTTTTGGCGGACTGTATATATAGATAGATAAAAACTTTAAAATGCAAAAATGATCATCAAGACAAGATCTACAAATAAATAATTCAACGTGACAAAAATCGTTAATTCTTTCCTAATTGAAGGTATTTCCCTTTAATGACGATTTTGCACATTTTTTTGACATTTTTGCCTATTATCTTGAAAAGTGTAATAGATAGATAGAAACTTTAAATGATTAGCAAGACAAGATTCACAAATAAGCCGTATTGCTGAAATCTTCAGTCGACTCATTATTGGAGTTATTACCCTTTAATGATATTTTTTTTCCTTTTATCTTAAAAACTATAATAGATAAAAGGAAACTTAGAAAAAGAAACAGCAGGATAATTTCTACAAATATGTCAACATGAATAAAATTGTCAGTTAACTCTTAATAGAGTAATTCTCTTTTATTGATGATTTTTACTGAAAAGTTGCCATTGTTGAAGATGCAGGTGAGCGACACAGGCTCTTTAGAACCTCAGTTTTTGTTAAGTTGTGTTGTGCTGTTGTGTTTTTCTGGGTTTTTTTTACCTTTGTTTTACATCTCTTTTATTAACATCAACCATGCGTCTCTATATATGACATATATATACCTTTTTTTCTCAATTGAACGCGAATTAATAAATATAAAAGGCTAAAACTAAGACTGACCGAAGGAATGATAATTTTAATTCAATTTCCTCCAAACTTTCTGGTGATTTTTTTTAATTAAGAATATGCATGCAGAGGGTTTAATCTCCTTTCTGAAAGACAATTTAAAAAAAAATCCTAGCTGAAAATATGTACAAGAAACAGAAACATCAAAACGCAGCCTAAGAATCTTGTAAAAAGTATTTAAGTATATGAAATCCTAAAACATCTATAATCAGACTGAACTTCTTTCGGTTAAGTATACGAAATAATAAACAATTGGATAATTTGACCAAGTTTTGAAATAATAATATATAGATTTCTGAATTCCCCATATTTACGCAAGTGGATGTTAAATCGTTACATATAAATAGAAATAATATAGGTATGAAATTATCAAAAATAAATAATCGC